ATACCCCAGGTAAGTGTTCTAGGTTCTTCGTGTAATTAGGTGTTCGTATGCAAGGGATTTTTCCACACAAAAACGACGAATTAGGCCGGATTTTGTTATCGGTTGGCTTAATATAACCCCAATGGATAGTATTTTTGTGAAAGATTGGTATTTTTGTCCTGATTTGTAGGAATCTGAAAAACGCGTTTCACAACTTGTCTCTTATTTAGTTTTATGCGTCATTCAAGATGGCGGCCCCCTTGTAGTAAATATCGTATTTAATTTATTATCACGTGTGCGCCAGCTGACTGTGTGTAAATCCAAGACCACTAAAATTTATTTTTCACGCGTTGTATACGTAACATGGGACCCATGCGGGACACGACGCAGTGTGACGACTTTGACGTCGAAATTAAAAGAGTAATCAGTGTATGTTTTATCATTATCTCATCATTATCTCAGGAACAAGATCCGGGTGCTTGGGATGACAGTTTTGGTTATAACGTTCGTGACATACTGTACGTTCGCTACACTCTGATTCCATATCTATATACATTGTTCCACCAAAGCCATACTAAGGGGTCCACTGTAGTAAGACCACTTATGCACGAGTACGTATACAATCATTACTCTTCGTAATAATGTTATATCTTCTCTGGGTACAGTGTAACTGAATAATCGTGTTAATATATATCTTCCGTTAATAATATCGTATAGAAAATTAGTTTATTTCGAAAACACTGACGAGAACTGCATTCCTGGTGTTTAATTTTAACGGATTTGATCATGGCTCGGGCGTCTTAAGTAATTAGTATGTTTGGAATGGGTGTCTTGAAACTATCGTGAAGGCATAGAACAGTCGGTATACTTCGGAGGGCGTCTTGAAACAGTCGCTATAGTTCGCGTATTTTGAGTAATTAGTATGGCCGGGAGGGTAACTTGGAAACATCGCGGAATCTTATAATAGTCGGTATAGTACGGATAGCGTCTTGAAACAGACGGTATGACTAGCGCGGCTTGGAAAATTGCCGGTCGGGGCTATTTGGTATAGACAGAAGGGGTGTCTTGGGACCATTGGTCTTCTTGGTATTAATTCTATGTAACCCTGAACGACGATGTATAATAATCGGTGGTGTTATAGTACAACGCACAGTTTACATGTATAATGTTAACGTTTTCATGAATTACGATTAAATCAAATATATAACCTTCTTTTAGGTTCATAACGGACAGAGAAACGCATACAACTGACAGACAATTCTTATGGGGAGCGTCATTGATGATTTCACCCGTACTCGACCAGGTAGGAGTTACATTAATGGCACACATCACCAGGATAATCACTGGTATTTACGAAATACATCGCCGGTGTTAATCAAATCATAGACCTTAGAGGTCTATGATCAAATTAACGCTTCATATAACCTCCTATAAATCACGCCCTCTATTGACGGGGCGCTTCTATGAAGGAAATGGATAACACGAAGGCAGTTCAAAACCTCGATATCGTTTTGATCTGTAGTCGTTCATCCATTGTTTTCAAAAATAATTTACTTATATCAGCTGACGAACGACGTCATAACCATACAGTGTTCCACGGCATTCACCCATATCCGTCATTTTGACGTCACAGATACATTCCATCACTAGAGGGCGCTGACGAGAAATTTAGGCTCATTTGTTGGTGCTTATTTTCATTGATTTTTGACGAGTTGAATGTAAAAATTATTTTTACTGAATCATACCTCCAGTGAAAATAAAGTACTGTACAGTAGGTAGTAAAATAGTTTATTATACAAAACTGATTGGTTTCAGGGAGCGACCAGCGTACGAGCTTACTTTCCCGATGACAGATGGTACGATTATTATACGGTGAGCTTATTATGTTATCTCAGAATAAATAGTGTATATCAAATCAATGTACATCGATCGGAAGATAACAAAACATATTGTCTATGTTGTAGGGTAACGAGGTGTCAGAACGTGGGTCTTACGTCACATTAAATGCACCATCGGATTATATACCTTTACATGTGCGTGGAGGTTACATCATGCCAACACAGGAGCCAGCAAGAAGCACCGTGTACTCGTAAGACTTGTTAACAATTAGCTTTGGGGCATTTGAACATTAGTGTGGTTATGTAAAACAGCAACACGTCTTTTGCACGTTTAGAAATATACTAAAACTTTAAAGAATTGTTGACGCACACTCGTTGATTACACTATAGAACACTATAAAACCGGAATAATATGTATACTCAACGTTACCTCGCTGGAAGGTGTCCATGGTATTTTTCATATCATTGTTCTATTTTAAGGCAAAATGAACACCTCGTTTAAAGATATTTTCTAAAATATGTTATAGTGACAGATTCCGAACATACATGTGAATCGAAAGTAGTCCCATGTAGAAGCACATTTATATGTATTAGTCCAATAGAGGTTATCTCGATGTACACAACAAATATAATACTGTTTAGCTTACAAGGTGCATGTCCAATGCAACTACCATTTTTTCATTTTATATCTTGTTATTGTTGCCTCATCATGTCCAAAACCGAACGATTACTGGGCAATTATTTTAAATCGATTTTATTTTATAGAAGTTAAGGTTAATTTGAAAAACTAAAGATAAATTAATATTGTTATTTGTACAATAATAATGTACATCAGAAACATGTCAACAATTAGTGTACCATATCCTCTATTATTTACTATAGTCGTGTTCTACCATTGGGTGTAATTGTTGCATTGGATGATAACGATAGCGCAGCAGGGAAGATATTCTGGGATGACGGCGATTCAATAGGTATGTAGAAATCCCGGAATTGTTATTTAGCTGAAATTCAAATATCTGATAAAATTATTGTATTCATATTATGTGTTGCTAAACGAATATGTAGGCTTTTGTTGGAGTACAAATGTTGTAATATTTACAAAAAAGTCTAGGACAGATGTTCTAATACGAGTTTGTGCACGGGTAGATGTAACGAGAGTTTGGACAGAGAGTTATCGAGAAAGATTGGTCATCGGGCAGGTATTGTGAGGGCCAAGTTATCCTGGCACCTCAATGTGAATAATGAAGTCGTACATTCTATAGAAAGTCCACACTACCCACACACTGGTACATGGACCAGTATCAGTTTACACTATAACAATTAACAACAACAATTTTATTAAATTTCAGATACTTACGAAAACGGCGAGTTCTTCACTGCGGACTTCAGTGCCTCCAGTGTAAGTTTTACTGAATCTTTGAGCGGGTGAAATTGTCAGTATGAAGTTAACGTTCAGAAAGCGTGGGGACATTATAAAAAACGCACGATCTATCAAATGTGTGTGTGTGCATTATTATAAATATAGTTTTTTTTCTGTAATTTTCTTCTGTCGATTCAAAATGTGGTGATCAGTACGTGGTACAGGTTACACGTTGTTTTGTTTAACACACATTTCATTTTTCTGTAGGGTGAACTGCAAGGTGTCATTACGCATGATGGTTACCGTGGAGTCGACTCTTTGGTATGGGGTACGGTACGAGTCTTAGGAGTAGCCACGTCAGTGACGTCAGTCAGTGTAAATGGCGCCGCCCATTACGATTACTCATACAACGAACAAACACAGGTAATGTTGGCATAGTTTTCGTGTTTCGATAATTAAGGTAGCGAGAAGGGAAATTTTCACTTTTTTCTTGATTTTTCAAAAATTGATAAAACGGTTACTTTAGACCTTGATACATCACCCCAGGTTTACAAAAGATCGAAATTGCGAAATAACGTTGCTCAAATTAGTGTTTTAAAACACTAGCAGAAAAGACTACAACTGGCGTTTCGTGGATATTTGCATAATGTTTATCTTTGAAAGGGTTTAAATGATAACAACTTATCTGTATACTCTGTAGTTGACGATTCTGATATAACGGGTGACAAGCTTCCAGTTGCAAACAATGCGTGTTTTATCTAACGTCCATTGTCAGCATTA